TTCTGGTGGAACGGTGCTGATAGCTGCAGAGATGTCACCATGGCCGCGACGGGATAGATTGTAGAGAATCAGATCAAGGGGAAGGAATCTGGGTGCTGGCTTGAAATGCCCGTCGTGGGTCTGAGGGTCCTGTGGAAGGTAGCGGGGCAGGCAGTAGAAGGGACGATTGATGACGTGGAAAACCCTGCTGTCGGCGTGGGAGGGTGTCATTCCACCAGGCGAGTGCTTTGCGTTGGAGATCTGAGAAGCAGCCTGAGAAGCAGCCTCTGAGCCGCTGATGCCGCCTCCAATCACGACTATCTTGCCGGGGGTTTCCGTCAGGGCAGAGAGAGTCCGAAATCGTGAGGAGTGTTGGATGTTTGAGAGAGGGTGGGAGGGAACGGGATTGAAGGTGTGAGCTGGCTTGTTAAAGAAGCCGCTGGCGACGACGAGTCGATCAAAGGTACGGCATGTTAGCTGACGGGTGCCGTCGGCACTGACCACTCTCCAAGTATGATCTTCTTGCAGTGATGCGCTGACAACTCGGTGCTCGAGGAGTATGTCGTCAGTTAAGCCAAGGGTTTCTGAATACGCCGCAAGATAGCGGCCCACGTGCCTAAAGATGCATGTACGAAGTCAGTAACTGTCTCACAGCATGCTGTGCACGGATTCTACCTGCCACGCTTTGGGAAAGACAGGCGGAACAGCTAGTGGATCGGCAGCAGGGTTCGAGATATCTACATGTACCGATGTCCAAGCCAGGTCAGAAAAGGCAACAGTGTATCTGCTCAGGTTGGTGCGCATCTCCGGACTGCACTTGTCGCCAAATTCCCCGCGGTCATGTCTCCACATGCCGCCTACACGGTCTGCGGCCTCGTAGACGGTGACTGCGAAGCCGTGCTGTCTGCAGATGTGTGCAGCCGCCAGACCCGCGGGCCCAGCGCCGACGACGCAGACGGACTGCTGCTCGACCGGGGCATCCATGGCCAGGACGGGGTTGGGAATTCGGGGCAGCAGTGTCTGAACAGAGGCTATTCGGAGAGTAGGCCAGCGTTGATGAGGGTGCCTTTGATGGTCTGGAACTGTGTCTTTCCATGCTGGGTAGGCGTCAGCAAAGGGCCAGGGCACGCTGCGGGGGTTCTGGGGCGGCGGACTGAAATCAGATATCGAATGTGGCCCAGGTCAGTGACGGAGCGGTGTTGGTCGAACTCGGAGCGTGCAAAGCGGCGCATGTCTCGTCGTGCGCCTGCGTCGGGGATGCTGGCGGTGCTGCGGACAATGTCTCGCCACAGGGCCAGGGCGCGCTGGCGCTGGATGAACTGCAGGACCGTCAGCGGGCGTGGCGCCGGGCCGGATGCGTCGTGGGACAGGTACGTGGTCCAGGCCCACGGGGGATTTTCCTCGTGCGCGCAGGCGGGAGGGCGGCTTGGAGGCGACGGTCGCGTAGGCGCGCAGCATGGCGGTGCGATGTGTCGAGGGCGCGTCCCAGTGCCCAAGGTTGGCGGTGGGCGGTGGGCGGTGGGCGGTTGGTGGTGGGCGGCTGGCTGGCGGCGGAATCGTCACCTCACCACACCACCATGCACTCGCCCCAGGCCCTCGCGCGCATGCAGACGGTGCAGACGCTGCTGCGCCAGGACGCCGCCCTCAGTGCCTACGAGGCGCCCCAGCGACCCTGCCCCGTCGCCTTCCACTGGGTCCCCTCCGCTCTCGACCTCCGCCCGGGCGAGCTCGACGCCTGCCTCGGCCTCGTCCACGCCACGTCGGGCCACGACTACGCGGCTTCGGCCATGGGCTGGGACCCGCGCAGGAAGCGCGACGAGATGCTCGACGCCGACATGATGTATCTGCTGCTGCGCCCGGCCCAGGGCGGCCCCGACGCCATCCTCGGCTTCACCTCCTTCATGTTCACCCACGACGACCCCCCGCACCACGACCGCCCCGTCCTCTACATCTACGAGATCCATCTCCACGAGCGCCTGCGAGGACAGGGCCTCGGGTCCCGCCTCGTCCAGTTCGTCGAGAGCGTGGCGCGCGCATGTCACATCCCCAAGACGATGCTGACCGTCTTCACCGCAAACACGCGCGCAAAGAGCATGTACCACAGCCTGGGCTACACCAGGGACGAGTGCAGCCCCGACGACAGGATCACGAGAAACAGCGTCATCCCCGCCGAATACGCCATCATGAGCAAGTCGATGGACTGAACACCATACATTGCTAGTCTTCATCAGCCCATCCTCACTCCACGGGAACAAACACCCTGTCAATGTCCGGCCCCCAGCCCTCATCCACCCCGCCAACCTTGACTTCGTTGACGCCCTGCTCCACGTTGACATGCACCACTGAACTTGCCGGGCCTCCTCCCCCGTCTGGCAAGAACGCCGCCCTCTGCGATTTCCCATTCACACTGATGGCTGCATACCTTTGCTGCTTGTCGCCGTTGAGATGCTTGATCCTCACAGTCGTGCGCGTCGTTGCTGAAGATTCCACCTTGGAAAACGTGGCGGACCCCGAGGGCACGCCGCCAATGTACCCAATTGCCTTCGAGCCCGAGCACGAGGAGCATGCTTGAGATATAGCTCCGTTAGCAAGCTCTGCCGTCTCGCCTTCGTACATGTTTTCTTTGGGCCCGGCCCTGCTGGCTCCAGTACCGGGGTCCAGGATCCAGTTGACAGCGTTCTTCATGCTAGCCGTCGTTCCAGATATCTCAACCGGTAACCATACGTATGTGCTTCTCATCAGATTTTCACTGTGCCATCGGTCCCCCATGTACACGTACCCATCCCCCACAGACAGTACAAAGCTTGTTTGAGAAGCGTACGTGTTGGACCCAGAGTCGGCGAACTTTTGCCACGACGACCATGGACCCGAGAGAGACGTCGACGTGCTGTAGTAGTTGTCATTCGGGCTCCACCCCGTAAGCTGCGAGGCGAACATGAAGTAAACGCCTTCGTGTTTGATCATGGCCGGAGACTCGTATTTTTCTTTCCAGACGTAGACATTGCTGGAAACGCTGAGATAATCATCAGACAGTGCGTTGATGCGTAGGCCGTTGCGGCGCTGGCTTCGTCAGAAACAGGTTCCTACTGTGCTACGAGGCAGTCATACGTCTTCGGTCAGTAGATAGCCCTTGCCGTCGTCATCGACAAACACGCCAGAATCTCTACTCTCGAAGCCCAGTGGTCGCTCGCTGCGTAGATACGAATACTTTCCGCAAACGCTGTCGCCTATTGCGACCCCAATCTTCGCCTCACCATAGTCGGCGCTGTCAATGTGAGCCCACAGGACATACTTACCCGTTCGCTTGTTGTGCATAACTTTTGGTCTCTCAATAACACGATCGGGCCCTGTGTCGCCAGATGCAGTCCGCGAGATTAGAGCGCCTTCATAAGACCATTCGACAAGGTTCGTAGACGAATAGCAGTTGATGTTTGTGAAAGCGGTTCCGTTTGTTTTATCTTCGCCAATCCTGCGGGCGCATCAGCACCGGTAGAGGCTGCCCTTGCGCGTAGAGCTATTTACCAATACCACTTTTCGCCATCTTTGATGATGCCGGCGCCGTGAGCCTGAATGTGCTGGCCTGTGTTGGTCTGGTGTAATGTCAGTTGCCATTTGCTCATGGGTACGACGAAACGCACTGCTGTCCAAGTCGCGCCAGGTACAATCTGGAGCGTCGCATTTACGATCAAGCCGGACAGGCCAAAGCCTACGAGTCTGAGAAGTCGCATGGCGGTATTGTAAGATCAAGTCTCAGATGCCAGCCAGAGCAATTGTCTATGCAGAGTGCCTGGAATTTATAGGCGCATCAGCAGATCCTCCCGCAAGTTCCTGACAATCTGCCAACTGGGTCGACCGCGAAAGGCTCGTCGCTCATTGACGGAAAAGGGGCACTGCGCTACATAGTGTCACGAGCAGACATGACTGTTTCAATAATTCTGGTGGCGTATGACTACCGGGACAAGGGTAATAGACGAGTTGTGGGGAAGCTTTAGTCCCGGAAGCTATGCTTGATCGAACGTTACCCGTGTACTGCACGTACTATACTGTAAACTCTGCACACGACGCTGCCTAGGTATGCATCGCCTGGATTGGCAATCACCCGATGTCCGTGGCTCTTTCAACATGAATGCACACTGGCCTCGGTAGCAATGGAACAGGCCGCCCTCCGAAGCGCAGATACTACTGGAAGGGGAAAGCATGCCGCATCCAGTCGGCACAATACTGCGACCGAACCTTGGAAGCGATGGGACATATGGGCTAACGAGTGTATGCTCAACGTATAACTTGGAATGACTGGCAACAGTACCGAGGTAGTTTGCACCGGTCGAAAAAGGCACGTTGCTAGTTCTGGATTGGACAAGATGTTTGCTGCACTCGTACCAACGTTGCACCTGCGCAGGCAGCGTACGCAGCGCACCCACGACAGCGTCTTCGGGCTTGCTCATGCTTCTCGCCCGCATTTTGACCCGCTGCTTCCTTTTGCGAAAGCTTGCCAGCGCCACGACCACAGCCTTCTGGGCGCGATTCCACGTATATCAGATACGGCCCAGCAACCTCAGCAATGATGTAGCGTTGTGTTAAGTTTACTAATCATGCATCTTCAGGGAACCTAGGGACCTGGATACTCTACAAGACATCAGAGATTGAACGTCAACAGACGACCATCCTTCACGTCCCTGATTTGAGCCATTCGCAAGTACCTTTGATGATCGGATAATTGCGAAGGGCCAACGACTTCGACATATTCCATACATTTGGACTGTCTCAGTACAATGCATTCCAGAATGTCCAGCACGTTGCGCTCTCATGTAAGATAACGGCACATCGTCTAAATAGGAGATTGTGTGTTTTCAAATCAGACGCCTCAGTTTCACATTCGAGCAAACCCGTGTAAGAATACCGTAAAGACTTTGTATCAAATCGTTGAGCAGCAAGCAATATTCCACAGGCGCCAGGGAGCTTCCGAGCTAGCGTTTCCCGGTAGATCCATCCTGCTACTTTTGTCACAACCTTTGGTTACGTTATTGCACAATATCCTTGGCCACTCCGACATAGCCAGATCCATTCTCGATCCACGTATTCTTCCAGATCTGCACCAGCTCTTGCGAAAGTCTTGCCATGTCGAGGTTCCTCTCACTTGAACTCGCTAGTACCTTCCAGCCTTGCTCGTGTTCTGCGCTCACATCATCGATCATGTATGTGTACTTGTCGAAATTGTCGGAGCCCGCAATGAGCATGTCATTCACACCATTGGCGAACCCGAATGTAGCGAGAACTTGGTTGTAGCTGACCCAAGCGGCGTCTGTCATGGGAATGCTGACCTTGTAAACGATATTGGGAAGGATGCCATCGCGTTCGACAACAGTGTGTAATGAGTCGGCCATGTAACCGTCGATGAAACAATACAGTTTTTCCCGGTCATCCTCACAAAGATGGGCCCCTGCTCCGCGAATCATGCGGAGGGGGGCAATGAGAACAAGACGTTCCCTTGCCTTGGAAGCAGTCAGTCGCGCACTCAAGCAAGAATAGGACTTTGAAGCTTACATCAGGACCAGGTGTAACTGTACGGCACAGTGAATCGGATTCAGGTCTGGGCTTCATCTCGTATGCAGGCGTCGCAAGAGGCGTCGAAGTGTAGAGTGGCGTTATGCTGTGAAGAGGCGAAGACGAAGACAGCCCCGCAAAAGAAGCATGCGAATTTGATCTACCAGGAGGCGTGTCTCTGCCACCTACGGTATGACCAGGGATGTGATAGTCGAAGGGTGACCGGTATGATCCCTTCTCCCATCCATGCTTTGGCGCACCGGGCGGGATCAAGGCAGCCCGCCGAATCGAGTTGGCGACTTCAGATGCAACCGAACCTACAGCGGTTGTATGTTCTGAACGAAGAGAAAGGGAGGGCCTCCGCGTGTGTACGAGGTTGCGCGCGTCGGCCAGCCGGTTGCCAAAGCCGACGTCTGCAAAACGCGTATAGTTGCGGTTCTCCACCAGTCGCGGAATTGTCGGTGAGGACGCTGATGGGGAAGTAGAATTTATGCGAGGGGGGACCGACATGCTTTCCTAGTTGCTGATGGCGGAGAGTGATTGCAACGCGTGTTTCGACTTCAATTTGATGGTAAGGAGCTGGAGCAGAAGCGAAAGGGGAAGCGAACACTCTAGAAACACGCTCTCAACTCACTAAGAGGAAGCAGCCAAGCCTGTGACTGTTTGTGGTGACAAACACAAAGCTCCAGTGAAGGTGTAGCGCCATTCATTGAACCTTCAATATGTGTTCTGCTTCGGGAGAGGCGACATGATCGATCTAGTTGCACGAGAAAATATCGATGGATTTCGTTGTCACTACAATATGTTAATGATATTCAGATTGTGGTCCGTGTTGTTTACCTAGGTAGTCACTAGCACTAGCGAAGAGGACTCGACACCCGTGCTGCTATATCCAGTATAGTCTGTAGAAGCCCAACTAACATAGTCCCAGTGTGAAGTTTGGTATTCATCCACCGAATGCGAAAGCTTCCCTCCGCCTCAAGAAGAGAGAACTCAGATTCGATCGCAACTTGATGTCTATACTGCTTCCTAGACCATGCACTGGCGTCATATCAAATGGCGGGCACCATGGCAAAAGCGCCATCTGTCGGTACTAGAGACTTTCAGGGCCGAAGAAGCAGCGAAGGAAAGCGCTGTTGTTGTTCGCAGAATTCGGGACGGGAATATTGAGGTATGTCCTGAGTGTTTTGATAGAGTCTAGAACATTTGTTTCTCTAACGCTAGCCAGTATGTCACTTGCGGCCGTCTTGAAGACCAAGCAAGCATTTGGAATCGTTGCAAACGCTCACTACGCTACCTCCAGAATAGGCCGCGGCGGGTTTCATCTCAACAGTACTTTGAGCATGACTCAGGCTCAGTGAAGAGCGGTGGAGAGACTGTGACAATGACCGTAAGAGCAGACGCGCACAACGAGGAAACACAAGAGTCTGGCAGTGAGCCCTGGGAGGGCGACTATACTAGCCTTCTAGCCGAGTATGGTATACGATAGTTGCCCCATAGTTTCCTGATGGCTCCTCCGCCTTTATTGCGTCTTATATCATACCCAGGTAGTCATGTACACCACCACATTCTGTACTAGATAGACAATGCAAGATTCATGTAGCTACCAAAAGCACGCTTTGTCACTATGCTATTTGGATAATGTCTCTGCCGGTGTTGTCAGATAGGAAAAGCGATATGATAACGCGGCGAATCCCATCTGGGTACCCCCAAAGCAGCGACGAAGACAAGATCAACTACACCAGCATAAGTAGCTAGGAAATGGGAAACAATTTCGCATTCGAGTATAGATCTTCCAGTACTCCAATCACGTACGACCCTAATCTGATAGTATCAATGCTTGACCGTAATGAAATTGAATCCGGGCCTGTCTCGTTTTAGCAGCCGTACCGCTCATAGATGACGTATACTTTCCCTGGCCAAGACATTTCCCACCTCTGGATGTGGCCTCTGAAGTAAAGCTCTCATCTATCCCGCTCCTTGAACCGTCGACTCAGCTCGTAGAGCCTTTACAGCCGTCTTTAGCCACTCTCTCGCTCAACTCGCGCGTCCTGCCTACGAGATGGACTCGCGGCTACCACACCCTCGCCAAATTCAAGCACAGCTCCAGGCACTCGGCGACGAAATCCAGAGCATCCGCGAAGAACACGATGGCCACATTGTCGGGCTAAGCCAGCGTCTGCAACAAGCTGAGAACCGCCAGCGACAACTCCTACATCAGCTCCAAATTGCTACGAACCGCTTTCCTGGACCGCCTGGCAGTAGTCACAGTGGTTACTCGAGTTCGACTGCCAACCAAGATAATCCTCTCCCTCTCTCGGAGTCTCTTATCGGTACTGGTCGCATCACAACACCTCCACGAGCACATACCGGTGGCGCCACGAGTAACGACAGGTATGATCGTACCCGCTTCTTATCATCAGGGGAGGCTTCTTCTAGACACAACAGCTATTCTAGTCGCCCATCCCCTGTTCAATCGGTGGATGCGAATGCTACACCACGCGCACAACACGCTGCTCCCCCACTGAACCCAGTCCGCCCTCAGCAGCCAGTCATTGGTAGTAAAGACAACGCAGCTTATCTTCCTATGGTCATGGAGAATATCATGTCCGAGCACCGCCGCCACAAACGTGAGGGCACCTTGAGATCTTGGTGAGATGCTCTCTGAGCGAGCGCTCATGAATGAGTGATAGTGGCTAATGCATATCAGTGGATTCGTTTTTCCAGAAGGGCGGACCAACGATGTCAAATGCTCTCAAGACCCTTTCCATATACCCTGCTTTCGTGCCAACCACTTCTACTATTGCCGACAACACATGCGTGTCATCCCTGGTGGGAAGACGGTTTGTAGCCATAGGAACAAGCAGGACTGCTTGGTGGTGATATTTGGTACGTTGTCCAAACATGGCTCTTGTGCTCATACGTCAAGACTATTAGTAATCATCCACAGAAGATCACGATGACTGGGACCTGATCGTGGATGCTGCACTCGCGGCAGGCAACCTTGGCAACAAAGGAGTGGATGTCGAGGATCTGAAAGAGGCTCTCTTCCCTCCTCAGAACTACTCTGATCGATACATGAGCGCCCCTGGCTGATTTGGAAGAAGATAAAGTACCCGGTGGTATGGGAAGGGCTTTAGGGCGAGGAAGGGCAGAGAAACAGTTGCAGCGGTGGATCAGCTCTTCGCGTAATCCGTGTCATTTTCCGATTCAATCCCCTTATGACCCTATCTGAGCAACTACATCGAGCGTAGTGTTGCATACAGCCTGAATGCGCACCTAGAGACAAACATTGAGCGTATCGAGTGTCTTTCGCGGCACGGCCTCGGTGTCTTGGAGATGTTCATGTCTAAGGCAAGGTTCGGCGTTGTGTGCCGTTGGCGATATTTCAGTTGTGCCTCCGGGGCCATTGATCCCACGTAAATCATGGATACAGAGTGTGGCGACGTTGGGAAGGTTTGCTGAGCCATGCTTGGTGTCGTTAAGATTGTAGGTTACCACGCACGCTGTGGTCCATGTTTCGTTTTTTGGCAACGCCAACACGCAAGAAGAATACCTACGCACGGCTGCGTGACGCAACCCACGTAAGTGTTATTGTTCAACGGTCGGACAAAGCGCGCTCACATTTGGACGAAGTCGCCCATGCCCAGCTGAGAGTACCTAGGTAGACGAGAAGCGCGCGTCTTTGACACGCGCTAATGACGCTTGGGCCTTGTCGCATGATTTGTCATCACTCAACAAAATATCAAAGGGGGCCGGGGTGCACAGAAGAATTTGCTCCACATTGCAAGCTGCATGCAGACGCGCCTTGAATTCTTCTGCCAAGCGATCAACTATCGCTTCAGTACGCGACAAACCATGTGTATTAGACCACGCTCTCATGTCCCCCGTTCTCCCGACCTCGGGAACTGGAGGTCATCTTTTCCGCTGCAGCTCCCTCCCTCCACTACACTCCCTCAACCGAAGGTCGAGTTCAGTGGCCCGAACTTGATGTTGCTGTAGACAACAGTGGCATCAGCATGTTGGCTCTCAATGTCTGCCGGCACACCGCTCGTCGTCTCGCATTCTCCCCTGCCGGTACCTAGATCCGTGTCTGGATTCTTGTCTGTGGGATACGTAGAGTCAAGCCAAAGCATGTTGCTGTAATGGTCATCCCACAGGCTCATGACGAGGACCATGCCGTTTGCGAGAGCCTTTGCCATGTTCGCCATACCGCCCTTGTCTTTGAACGTGTATGTATCGTGGAACGCAGCTTTCTGTTCGTCGCAAAACTTTGTTGTGATGGAGTTCCCGTCTACGCCAGGAATAGTAGATGCAGGCTGCGCAATAGTCTTGCCGTTCTGGACATAGAAACGCTTGATCTCCATAGCGTCCCCGGTACCGACAAATTGTGTGACCACGGTGAACTTCTTTGAAGTGTCTACCGTCTTGCCCTTGCCATAGAAGTCTTTGACACCCATGCGGTAGCTGTTGAAGTCACAGCCGTCAGGATCGCAAACCCCGGCATAACGGTCGGCCGAATAGGTACCTCCGCAACCGTCGCCGTCACAACGAGACTGCTCGATTGTGGAGCACGAGTGTGGGGTGACGGCTGTGCTGACAGCGTTCGCTTCCCAGATGTCCATCTCTGCGCAGCACGAACCATGGCCCCCAACCCCTGCATTCGCATCGTTGGAGGATGGCTGCCAACCTTCGACATTTCCCTGCAGCATTCTGAGTAGCTGAAAACCAATTCTTGGAACCGAGCGTGACTTACCTCGCCGTTGATGAACTTCAAATCCCGTGGGCACTGGGCGTCGCAGTACCCTGTGCCGTATTTGGCGCCAGCCTTGTTCGTCGAGAATTTCTTCAATCCGCCATCTGCATCCATTGAAACAAAGTACAAAGCGCCATTGAACCCGCATGGCAGGTTCGACACGTCCACATCGAACGTGAACTCTTGGTTGCCGGTAAACTTAAACATCTGTTCAAATCCACGGATCAGTTGAGACACTGTTTGTACCTACGAGAACGTTACTTACCTCGTAAGTCGTATCATCCTTCATGAGATACGTCCGAGAACCGATGTTTGTGGAGTAGGAACCCTTCGTGATGAATTTCAACTTCAGGGAGTTACTGCCCGCGGTGATGCCGTATGTGCCACTGTAGTCTGCGCCGTCAACGGCACAGTTGGCCGCACATGCCTTATTGTCTGGGCAGGCAGTTGCGTTCCACTCGTTACCTGTGTAACAGTTGTCATAGCTAGTCTTGTGTTAGCAGCTGAGTCAACCCAACAGATTGTGCCTATGCCATTACCCTCCTTTGACATGAAGCCATCGCCAATTGGCGTCGATGACAATTTTACCGTTCTTGGTTGTGCAGCTACCCTTGGCGGTGCAAGACTGCCATGTCATTCCTGGATGGGTTTCGGTTTGCTGAGTACCAACAAGCTGTGCGTGAACGACGTGGTAAAACCACGCGGCAATGACGAAGTAGTGATACATGCCCAGATGGTGAGCAGTACAGGCTTTGGGGTTTCAGTAATATCGTGGGCAAAGACTGACAAAAGGTTGAATCAAGATCATGGCAAGTGCATCGGCAGGCGTCTCTTATGTCCCTTTTCGCGGAGCCTTCTAATTACCCTTGGGCGTATGTACTCTATGTTCCATCTTTCAATCAATGTGTCAATAAATGCTAAACCACGCCCCAACTGCTGCAATTTGCGTTCAAAGCCTTTTCTCGCATACCGATAATGTGCGGCCCCTACATGCCATGTCGAGATTCATCTCACTGGAGGCTAGAACGTGTCCGACCACAGACGCGGACAGCTTATGAGATGAATTGACTGCTTAGTGCGACGCGGACACCCGTAGGTCTACAAGGCAATCTCCACGCAATGTAGGAATCATTAGACATCGTCATCGCAGCCAGAAGGTCACTCGGACAGGCGATGTGATGCAACAACCCTTTTGTTCGGCTGTCTGCCCGGCTAAGCATACCAAGCATCTTGAAGCTCACTGCCATGAGCTGGGCGCTGAGTACTATTAACTGGGTATTTCAATCCCAAGTCAAGAGCAGCTCCTGCACAGATGCATGCGCCTCGGCGCCTCAGACCCGGTCCCGTAATACCCTGTTAAACTACGATTAGAATGCGTCTTAGGTCTTCGATGGGTCGTGCTGTCACTGCACAGCGGAGAGTTCAACTGCCGAAGAAGATATGAAGGCAAGCCAAGCTGATCATCAATTATATGAAAAACAAGTACCGAAGAGGGGTAGATTGACGATACTGTTGATACCACGAGACTGGAAATGAGACATGACCAGCATTCCCCGCATTGGCACAAAGAGGACCCGATGAGTGCGTCGAAATGCCGGCGATTCCATTTATTAATCGTCAGCACTGGTGACGCTACACTATCGACAGGATGGGTGAATGCTACCTAGCTGGAGGTATGGCGGCCTGAGCGTACCTGGGGACGCAATGGTTAACTGGGTCTGTTGCATCTCCGTCTTATATCCGAGTCTGTGCGCTCCAACCCATTGCCTCATCTCCACCTGATCTCCGCCTTGTCCGACCTCCAGCTGTTTCGCCATTGTCAACGCGCATCGCAGTCCCTAGTTGCCATCCGTCATATGCCATGTCCGCTCCCGGCGCCGAGTGGATTAGCGACAGGTCTCGCGAGGAATCCCCAGAAGGTCACGATGGCTTGTCGCAGCGACGCACGAGCAAGAAGCGCAAAGTGTTGTCGTGCTACGCTTGTCGCAACCGCAAGATGAAGTGTGATCGCGTCTTTCCAGTATGTGGCCGATGTCAGAAAAACGACAGAGGTCACGAGTGTACATATGACCCCCGGCTACTTCAAGAGTCCCACCGTGACAGGGGCGCTGCGTCTCTTGCGCTTACAGAGCTGCCAGTCGAGAGCGAGCCCTCCTCGGACGCATCGAATGCATTACAACGAAAAGTCAAAACACAAGAGAGACGAATTGCCATTCTGGAACAGAAACTCATCAATCGAAATGGCGGTGGTAATCCCCCGCAATATGGGGAGTTTGTGCCCCATGAACCCAAGATCACAGAGGAAATCATGTTCAGAGGAAAGGGTTTCAGATCCCAGTTCAACGGCGCAACGAGTATCATGAGCATGATCTCCACGGTACAGTCCCAAGCCTGACGTCAACGTGATAGAAACTGACCACCACTAAGTATCACGAGCTACAAGCTTTCACGCGAGAGGCTTTGACCGTCGATCACTCCATCATGCGTGTCAAAACCGACTTCAAAGCCTTTCGCGATCAGAGGAAGAAGTCTGCGAAGAGGCAAGCCACTAGATGCTCTGACATCGACTCTGAAATACTCGCTATCCTTCCGGAAAAGAGCATAGTTGATACGCAGGCGGCTCTCTACTTCCAAACGTGGGAAACAAGTTATAGAATCCTGCACGGGCCGTCGTTCTGGGAGGATTATCGAAGTTACTGGGAATCAGATCGGGACGGAAAGGGACCGGTGAGCTTCGCCGTCTTGCTCGTCTTGCTCGTCGCAGCCACGAAGTGCCTTAACCCGAAAGATGATGTGTTTGTTGGTGACACGACTGCCGACAGGCAAGCGGCTCACGAGCTTATTAATTTATGCGACAGCTGGATCGCTGATCAGCCGCGCAAGCGGGTTACTTTAGCTTTGTTCCAGCTACAGTGCCTGTCGTTACTCGCGAAGCGTGTCAATTGCGTGCGCCTGAAGCAAGACTGGGTCGCATCGGGTGACCTACTGCGACTCTCCCTTGCATCTGGTCTACATCGTGATCCCTCTCTGCTCGGACATGGTACGATGACAGCTTTCGATGAGCAAATGAGGAAGCGTCTGTGGATTACCGTCATGGAGCTGGAGCTCCAGTCGTCCGTTGAGAGTGGCATTCAATCTTCGCTCTCCGGACTATACTGGGACTCGCCTATCCCTGATAATCTTGGCGATGAATCCTTTTCGCCAGATATGCAGCACATGCCGGCGGTACGTAGAAACGAACCTCGGAAGAAAGCGTTCCCTGTGAGACTGACACCGTGCAGTCCGACGAGAACTTCACATCAGCTTCGTACCTCATCGCAACTACAAAGTCACTTCCACTCCGTATCCATTTGACGCAAGTGTTAAACACCCCTTCCAGTGCTCTCGATTACGACGACGTGCTGCACTACGATGCACGGATCCGCTCTGCATTGGCCGCACTACCCGTCTGGAACGATGATCGCGCACTCGTACCTTTCGCACTCCTCCAGTTGCAGTTGCGACAGTATCTCTTATTGGTGCACAAGGCCTACGCCAGACTAGCCTGCACAGACAATCGCTACTTATACTCGTTCACAACTTGTGTAGAAACGTGCAGCTCTTTGGTCACCACGCACGATCGCCTGCTATCAAGAGGCGTTCTAGCGCTGAACAACTTCCGCAACGACGTCATCAGAGCTGGTCTGACACTTTCGCAGATTGTCTACCACAACTGCACTCTTCGAAAAGTAAAATCGTCCCGTACCCCTGCAACTGATTCTACGAATCACAGTGCAGACCATCACACTCATTTTGCAGACCTGAGTAGGCCACAGCGCTTGGCAGCCTCCGATACATGTCTAGACCTGTATCTCACGGCACTACCGCAGGAGTCGTTCCTTGCAAGAACACTATGTATATCTTCGATGGACATCCTAGAGCGAACGAGACAGATATTTGAGATCAAGGTCTTCCGGCTTGGTACAGGATACATGGAATGCTGGCTGTAAGTTATGTGTCAATAATTCACAGCAAGAATTCGCTGATTTTGGTTCTCGTATGCACAGCATGTCTGCTGCAGTAGGCATGCTACCTCCTCCATCACCTGCTACATCCATAGCCTACATCAACAACATCCACGATGACGTACTTTCAAGATGTCACAAAACGCTCGACTGGTTTACCTCGTTGGCTTTCAGAGTACTAGCTCTACAACAAGATCCCCTGAGTCGCTTGGCGTCTTCCCTTCGCAGTACCATGAGTACTAGGGAAGAGATCGTCTCGACGTCAATGACCGCTGAGAGTACACCTACCACGTCACTAGATGGGGTTTGCGTAGAAGCCAACACAAGTAATAGTACGAAAGAAACGTATGGACCATTCGATTCACTACAGGACATACAGTCAGATATGAGCGGCTGGTCATTTCCTGACTTCTGGGCGTTTGACCTTGGCGGAGACTTCTGATCTTCATACATGCAATGACTTCAGATAGACACCGCAGCTATAACTACGTCTTCGCACATGCTAGCAGGTGTATATCATCAAACACATTGCATCGCCCTAGCTTCTACTACCCTATGCTATTCCGGCGCCGTGACTCTTCGAAGTGTGCCTGTTTTCTACTCTACACATACTACAGTAGTTCTTTTTTTTTTAGGTTATGTAGAGTCTCTTTACAGGTTCTCCTATTAAGTCGTGCTTTTCGACAGTACTCTATTATCATCTTTAAGAGGTATAATGAGCAGTTACTTAAGACGCTTACAATGCTATCTAGCATTGCTATCATTAAAGGAAGCTATATAGTTGCATGTTAGAGAGCTTTGTTACGTTGTACTAACAACAACTAGTGCGACGAGCGGGATAGAGCTATATCTACCGAAAAGACACAAGCTTATTAAGGCGCACTACCACGAAGATTTTGAAGCATACAAATATTTAAAACGCCTAGACAGACTTATGTAGGGTTATCAGAGCTTGCTTTGTTATTTCCGTAGGCATTAGTCTCGTTTTAGAGCGCATGGGAATCAGCTTTCTACGCGTCACTGTGTTCACTATTTGTTGGTTAAGACCCTATCATTTGGTTCACTCACTAATGTCGCCCTAGTAATATAAATACAGGGCTTCCTCTATCT